TACACACCAATAAAAAATTCAGAACAACAGCAAGTGGTAACTTGGTACTTCTGGGCACTGTTCTGAAGGCTGGCACAGGTTTATGCCACTTTAGTCCCCTAACAAGCATGTGTGAAGTAAGTGGTGCATCCTTCACGTTTTCAGTGAAGGGTATGGGAGCATGAGAGACTGTGTGATAGCAAGGAAGCACCCACTGGCAAGGCTGGGTCTTTTCGACCCAAATCCTAAGCTCCAGCTTTCACGAAATATTTATAATTGAGCAAATTATACTCCCAAACCCAACAAGGAGATAAGAGCTGGGATTTAGACCCTCTGCAGGCTTAGAAACTGGAATCCATGACCCCAAAAAGATCGTACAGGTCAGGGAAGTGCCAAGTGCTGCCAGGGCCCCAGTGGGTCCTGAGTTACCAAGAGACTGACCCCTTGCAGGCTCTGGGCAACACTGGAAATGCATTTTGAGGGCCCCCTATAGTCATCAGACTGTATGGACCCCTCCAGCTAGAGCCACGGCTGCTTCAGGACTCCTCCCAAGCCGGTGCAGGGGAAGGAGGGGTGGGGAAATGCAGAAAGCGCAGACAGCCTGTCTCAATTCAGATGCGTAATCAGATCAGTTAGGCATAAACATGGTCTCAGACAAAACTAAATTATGGTTTCTTCATGCCCTAGTGGTAAGTTCACTGCCCCAGGCTTTAGGAAACTGTTTCAGTTACTGGCCCTGCCATTAACTATCTGTTGTAAAACCTCTCTGAGCTTTGTTTCCCTCATCTGTAAAATGAGAAATTTAAGAGATTTTCTCTACATCCCTTTCAGTGCAAACTTGACTTGATACTGGGGTTCAGATCTCTTCCTGGAAAAGGATTCTAACCCCAGATTTGAACGTAGAACTTAAAAGTCAGGAAATATGAGTTTAAGTCTTAACTCAAAATACAGTACTGTATAATTTCTTTGAGCCTCAGCTTCCTATTCTGTAATAAAGGAAGAATACTCTTAGATGAGTGTTCCCGAGATTCAGTGAGCTAGTGGGTGGTTCTCAAACCTGACCTGCTGAAGAATCACATGGAGGGAGCCACTCACCGAAACACAGGTTGCTGGGCCCTGCTCCCACCCAGCACCTTGACTTACTAGGTCTGGAATGGAGGCCAAGAATTTGCATTTTTATCACATTTCCAGGTGGTGCCATGCTGCTGATGCCAGGATCACACTTTGAGAACCTCTGAATTAATGTTTTTAAAAGCTCATTAATAGAGTATGAATCTAAAATGTTGTGACTCAGTCTAAATGGGAAGTGGTTCCTCAGTGTTAAAGTACAACCATATAGATGATTCATTCATACCTGACAAGCAGTTGGGGTATAAATATCCCCAGCACCCTTAGCCTATGGCTTCTTTTGGGGTGTACCAGCATCAATCACCAAATTTACTGACTACAAATCCCAGACCAGATATCTGGGAGCCTCTGCATGTCCATACGTGGGTCTCATGTTCTTCTACAAGGTTCTCTCCTTGTTGATGTTGCTCGTCCCCTGGACCCCAGACCACTAGCAGTGGTCCCTTGTCCCAGCTACTGTTGCTGGTATATTCTGGAGGATATTGCTTTCCTGGTAGGGGCCATCTCCCTGTGGTGCTGCAGCTGCCACAAGGTGCACTCCCTCCAGCCCTCCCAGAGACACCATTTTCTTACAGAAGAGCAAGTATGGCCCTCCCTTCAACCCTGCTACCCTTGTCATCTAAGCCCAAACATAGCACTATGTACTTCACGGAGATACTTCATTGCACAGACCATGTTTGCTGCCCACTGAGTTCACTTTCATTTCAATGACTGTGTTTCCAAGCCTCTCTTCCTATGAGGCTGGGGCCATGTGACTAGTTCTGACCACTGGTTTAAAAGGGGAAATGATATATGTGCAACTTCTGGGCCAGACCACCAAAGAGGGGCTGTAAGTTCTGCATGACCTTTGTTCCCTTTCCAGGGATGGGGGCGCCAATGTTCCAGAGGCACAGCAAATGCAAGTAAGCTGCATTCCCAAGCCACAGTCTGTCAACACGGAGAGATAGTGAGAGATAAACCTTTTAGGGCTATAACGCTGAAATTTTCTCCCATAGCAAGATAAAGTTCCTTAGCTTTACTTATGGTCTCCCTCTGCGGGGCCAAAAATGTGGAGAGAGCCTGGAGAACAGACACCCTAAAGTCCTTATCTCCACACTGTTCCCATTTTCCCCCTTAGAAATTTCCCTCATACACTACATAAGTAGCACTTGCAGATAATCCCAGGGGAACAGTGTCGTAAGCCTACTGCTCAGGAGACCAGTCAGATTTTAAGTCTCCACTGGAGCTGGTGGAGGTGGGGGGTGGGGGTGGGGTGTGTGTTTGAGAGAGAGAGACAGTAGTTGTCTATTATTTGGGCAAAGGGGTAGCATGACACCAACTCACAACCCTCCCACCCCACCCCCAGGGTCTGATTCTGCTAAGTAGGCCTGAGAAGAGTCTGTGTAGGAGGAATCACCTTTTCTAAGAGGTGATTGTATGGCTTTCTTTTGGGGGGCAATCCTACTACAGAGATTAAAAACATGGTGGTTCCCCTCAATCTGCAGTAATAAGGCAAGAAGGGACACTGGGGTTCCTCATGCACCTCACTGCAACATCCCCCAGTGTAAATGCCCTTGGTATCTTGCTGAGAGTTCAGCAAATGTGCATGGGTCCCACCTGGGCTCTCCCCCTGGCTGCTGGGCAAAATCTAAATCCACTGTGGCAAATCTTTAGCCACGTTATAGCATGGTCTTCAGAGGGAAGAAATGAAGAATGCATGGCTCATGGGTGAGAGCTAAGCTAAGGAACCCATAGCTAGTCTAGAGCGCCATGACCCAGCAGACATGGTGGGGCCAGGATAGATGAGTTGCAAGGGGCTGTAGGTTTTCCATAGTTTGTGCCTAAGGATGAGCAAGTTCAGAATTTCTGGAAGAAGGTGACAGGCAAACCCTTCATAGTTGGATCACATTTCTGCTCAGTCTTCCTGAGGTCAAGGAAGGCAGCCGCATCCGTAAGACAAACTAAAATTGCTGACAGGTTTTGCCTCTGGAGTAGAAACCATTCATCCTATCATAAGCTTCATTCTTAAAAATAGTTTTCTTCTCTTCAAAAGATTTTTGCATGTCTTTATTATTATTACATCTTATACTTACAATTACACTGCTTGATAGACCTAGTAAAAAATGAGAAGTAAAATAGGAACTAATGTTAACCTGGTCTCCAATATTGCCAGGCACTGTGCACAGGACAAATGAGAAATACTCTCTCTACCTGTAAATTCAGAAACGACGGCTTAGAGAAGATAACTTGCACACTGTCACACAGGTAGTAACAGCAGGACACAGATTCCAATCCAAGTATGTGTGACCTCAAAGCTCATCCTCTTTCCATGGACACTATTATATTTGGTGACTCATGTCACACAGCAAATCAACGATGGAATCAGGCCCAGAGTGGTTCCTGCTAGTACCCCAATACCTTGTTCTGAGCTCTATTTGTCAGCCACAGAGAATCACGGTCAGCATCTCACTGTAAACAGAAGTGGCCCATTCATGGCCACCCTCGAAATCCCCACAGACCTGAGAGTGGAGGGGAGATCCCCCCACCCACCTCCCACTGCTTTCCCATCCCGACTCCACCTACTCCCAGAGCCTAAGTATGCACCAAAGGACAGAATAAAGACACTTTAAGAGGAGTTATATCAAATTGCATGGCAGGACCTAAATTTTAAGATTTTACCAATGATACCTTCTTCTTACACTACTCAAATTCAGAAATAGTAAAACTGGAGAGTAAAGTCCTTTTTTTTTTTTAAGATAAGGGATTGTACCCTGATTATTTCCCAAGTTCATTTGAGATGACTGGTGGAATGAAATAGTATGTGAAATAAAAATGAAAAAAAAAGACATTCAAAAGAGTCAGGTAAAGAGATTTTCGAGCACTTGAGATGAGCTAATTATCACTGCTGAGCCTGAAATTAAGCTGCATTTCCTAGCAGGTAATGCCTAAAAAGGAAACGTAGTTCTTATTATCTAATGATACTTTTAAAAATAATGAAATAGTTTTTTAAAGCTGTGTGTGTGTCTGACTTCATGGAGAAGTGTTCTCTGTGATCAGTGTATGTAAGAGACAACAGGAACCATGAATTTCTCCTTCCCTCCTTCCTTCATTTCCGGCCTGCCTACCTGCTTGTTTGCTTTTTCTCTCTTTTCCACTTTCTTCTTTTTCTTTTCCTACTTTGGTTTAAGACATATAGAAAAGTACACAGAATAATAAACACTACACACTCAATTCCTAGAAGTAATTTATGCTTTATTTTCTAAAATAAGGTAAAGCATAACAACTACAGAAAAGAAAGAAAACTGTTTTTCTTATCTTCAATTCCATTTCCTAGCCTCCCTCCTCAGGTGTAATCCCTACCACCAATTTGGTGTGTATTCTTCCAATCTTTTGTTTTTACATTTTACACATAAGTATATATGTATGTGTGTATGCATAAATAGTATTGAGTTTTATGTAAATAGTATCACTGAATACAACCTCTGCAGCTTACATTTTTCACTCAGTATTATATATCTGTTACCCATCCATGTACCCACACACAGATCAAGTTAATTCATTTTACTTACTGAATAATATTCCATTATATAACTATATCACAACTTATTTCTCCTTTCATCCATCCCTATTGGACATGTTGTTTCCAATTTTTCAGCATTACGATCAAATTTACTATGGGTATTCTTGTGTATGACTGTCTGTACCCAGGTTGGAGAGTTTTTCCTTAGGATATATACCTAGACATGGAATTGTATGTCTATTACAACATAATTCACTACAGTGTGTTTAAACAAAATATGGCTTAATTGAATAATATAGATGGCCTATAAAAATTGTGGCAAGGCCAGAAAAGTAGGCTGGAACAATACTGCCAGAAATATCCCTAATTGGAGAAATACTTTAATATACTGCAGGATTGTTCAAATAGAAACACCAAAGTTGCTGCTTAAAGCCCATGACTCTACGGCCTGGATACCAAAAATTTGAGGTAAGCTGCCTGGGAACATGGTGCTTTTCTTTCCTTACCACTTTGCAAGTGTCCATAAGGATGCTGGGAAATACTCTGAGAGTGGTGCTGGGAATCCAATTGGACACAGCCTCTCCCGCGGTTAGGAAGAAGATTAGGCAGAGTTGTAGAACAAGCACCACCTTACCCACAATGCCCCTGGATCGGCTATGCTTTACCCATAATGCTCCTGGATGAGCTCCATCTCTGTACAGTCTGCTCCTGCTCCCAAACAAATTCTCTAACTCCATAAAAATGTGTATTTGCTTTGACCTCGTTGTTTCATTTCTAGAACTTCATCCTTGAAAGTAAGAATAGCATGTGCAAAACACATAGCTGTAAAAATGTTTGTTAGTTTATATTTAAAAGCTGGAAACAATCTAAGTGCCAGCAGTGGGTGCTGGGCTATGGTGGCAATGGAGCATGGCAGCCTGCAGACTCGGCAGCCAGAAGCACAGCGGGGGTGCAAACTCCAGCTCTTCTCTCACTCTCTGCATGACCTTGGGCAAAATGTTGCCTCCGTCCTGTTTTCTTATTTACAAAAGGTGGATATAATAGTATTTACTTCATGGATCTCTGGTGAGGAGTAAATTAGATGATCCATGTAAAGCATAGCCCATAGGAAACATTTTATAAATATTTGCTATTATTAAATAAATTATGCTATAACTGCATGATGAAATTCATTGCAAATGTAAAAAAGATACTATAGAAAACTAATAATGCTGGGAAATATTTATGGGTATTGTTAAGTGCAAAAAGCATGTTATTTACTGATGACATCTAGTTTCTCTAAAAATACATTTTTTTTCAGAAGGAAGAACAATGAAGTAATTTACATCAAAATGCTAAGCACAGTTATTTCTGAGTGATGGGATGACAGATTTTTATATTCTTATTTGGGCTTTTCTATATTTGCCAACATCTCCCCAAAAGGGAGGTAGAAGGAAGGAGCCATCAGTAATGTGATTTGCCTTGCTATTTTTTGTGTGTGTGCTAAAGATGGATAATAATTTTTTGCTTGTTTCCCCTTCACCTGTTTCACCTATCCCCCACCCCCGGACAATAATTGTTTTTATCTATTAAGACAATCTAGAAAATGGAGGTAGAGAATGGTGTCCTACAAAATTCCCAAAAAAGTGTCCCTGCTCCATGCTGTCCATGTGGGGAAAGAACCTAAGAAACTCCCTGTTCCAGAGGACAGCGAGTTCCGCAGCCTGTGAGCCCACCCTGAAGGGCCTCTTTTGAGTCTGTGGGCACCCTGACCACCGCACCCCAGTCCACGTACAGCACGGCAAGGCAAGGACAAGGAGAAGAGGGGACTGAGAAGCAGGTGGAGAGGAGGCGAGGGATAGGGAACAGAGAGGCAGCGGGTATCTTCCTTGAGATTACACATCCATCCCACCCTATTGCCCCTGGGCCTAGCCATCCTCTTTGACTGTTGCTGTTAATTTCGCCAACCTGCCCAGGGCCCTCCGTTTTCCCACTGTGAAGTTTTCATGTGTTTCTCTCGACCATTGAGTATTCCAGGGCAAAACAAAGACCCTGGAATCCCCACTGTAGCCAGCCATGTCCCTTCTGGGTCATGATCAGGCTAGGCAGGAGAAAAGAAAAAAGACAAGAAGAGGATTGGTGGGCACACCCTTTCCATCAGGCCAAGGACGGAGAGGGTGAGTTGAGGACCCTCCACTCCTCCTCCCAAGTCAACAATGATTTTCCAAAAGCACAAGAGGCAGAGCCACCTGGATACAGATGGCATATGGAAGTAGCTTTCAGGTTTTTGGCTTTTTAGGCTGGAAGCCATGGGTTGGGGAGTCCTGTTCATTTCCATGGGTTCCATAATCATTACTTAGCATTAATATTGCATGGCTACATCCACAGAGCACCTTCCGATCACATTTAAAAGGCATTTGTGGAGTGGCGTTGGCTTTCCAGCTACCTGCAATCACTCTCCAGCTCTCTTCTGGGATTTGCACCTTGTGATGGCTTTCTGAGGTCATTTTAGATGGTTAACCCCTGGTTGGGTGTCCCTAAACAACTGTGTAAACTAAGAGAAAGATTGCCCCACACCCCATCCATAAAACAAAAATGATAGTGATATTTGATGACTTGCCAAAACCACAGGACTGCTGGCAATGAGTGAATGAAAGATCTGAAAGCACCCTGGAAAAGAGGTATTTTAGAAATCTGAGGCCCAGCTTGCACGACTACAAAGCCCTGTCCTTAAGTCCTACCTTCCACCATCTTGGGAGGGAGTGTGGTCTGCAGACTGAGTCGGCGGACACACCCCAAAGGACTCAATTAGAATGGCTACATTACAGCCACAGCTTTAATGTTTTCTAGCGTTGAATTCCTTGAAAGGCCAAAGGGTCCCTTACCATACCATCCCACTCAAGACCTTTGACTCCCACCTGCCAAATCTTTGTCATGTCTTGTTTTCAGGGAAAAGTGCCAAGGGATGCTCTTTGGGGATAAAGGTGGAAAAGAGGAAAGATGTTGGCAGAGGCACATGGCGTCTAATGGCAGCCATTGCCTCCATGCAAAAAGACCATTTGTTCCTCCCCTGCTGGCCCACATCCCTTCCAGCATCAGCTGGAACCCAAGGCAGACACTATCACATCCAGCCCTTGACTCATAAAAGACCGCTTCCCCTCGGCAGGAGCTGTGCCTTTTGTTCCTGAGAGCTTAAGGCATTTTGGAATGCCAAATAGTAATGACAGGTCTCTGAATAGCCCTACTTGGGGCACCTCGGGAGTGAGTCATAAGCTGTGTTTCCTTAATTGAGTTAGGACCTGTCAGTCACTAGTTCTGCTATAAATACCCTGGGAGCTGGAGGAAACTTCCCAGATAGGAAAATAACAGGCTGTGCAACGGGGATCTGATCTTGGAGACAAAAGAGGTAAAGAGGCTGTGGAAGGAGCAGCAGGTGCCTGTGGGGCCTCCAGGGAGGCAGACACACCCACCCATCATCACACAGGTTTCTCTCCCACAGGACATGTTCTCAGAATCAGGCTACAGCTGCTTTAAACATTATGATAAGGCAATAGAATGTGCACGGACAGAGCCCAAGGCAGGATGGGTAGATGGGTGGGGCCCTGTCCTTGGGCATTGGCAAGTACGACTCTAGAGTGAGCTCCCCTCCCTCAGGTACCCATAACAGATTCTCTGCTGCCAGGAGAGGAATTTCCCATCACCCTCCCTTCCTCTTGTCAACTGCTGGCACTGTCTGAGCTGGAAAGCAGGTTGACAAGGTCAGGGGGAGTGAAGATCTGATATGCGATCATGCCTCTCAGGTCCATGACAGGCAGGCCTGTATGGAGTGGGCCAATGGCTTCTCTTTGCTCTCCTCCCCAAATAACCCTCTAGTGTGCCAATCAGAGATGAAGATAAGAAGCTGACTGAGTCCTCCTTCCAGAGCCTAAACCTCAAGGCAATTACTTATGGGAGCTCCACAGTGCCTATCAACCTCAAGCCCAGGACTTCCTTCCCACGTGGAAGCTGCCGCTCTGCAGGGGCTGGGGTAGCTCTTATGCATACCCTTTGCATCATGCAGTCACCATTGCTTGACAGTGCCATCCACTGAAAGGGCCACATCCATCACTAAAACTGAGAGACACAGGTGAGACAGGCCTGCTACCTGTGGATAGGGGCCCTTGAAACCCTCAAGCTGAACGTTCCCACTCCCACCCCATACCAGAGCTACTCACAGTACCACAGGGCTACTCAAGCTGCACATTATTTATTACTCGTCTGCAGTGAGACAAATACAGAAATTGAGAGTAAAAACTCTAAAACTTTTATAGCAACCTGGCAGAGTAATTTAATGTGTTTATTCTAATAATAAAAAGGCACTTGTACTTTTCATCATTTTATTTCATTTTCCCAAAAATGTATTCTAAAGAATACATTTTTTAATAAAAATATGATTCTGCAAGAAATTGTCCAAGAGAAACCCTGTTCCTTCATCGCAGACAGTGGGAGAAGCACAAATCTAGTTGCAGTCTATTGCTCCAAGTACGCGGCATCGAAGCCCCCAGGCTGCTATGTGTTCTCTTCAGGAGAACTCTGAGAGCATGCGAGAGAAAACAGAGGCAGGCCGGCGGACAGAGGGGACACCTGCCCCACCTGAAACCGGGCAGGCTGCGTTCCAATGAAGTAACACAGTCAATCCAGTCCTTTCTATCACTCTTTCCTGAGATTGTGGCTATGGAGCAATAATGACAATGACAATACACTGTAGACCTGGCCATTCTGGGTGGCTTAGTCAGAAAACCCAGAGCAAGACGGTGCACTGACACTGTCTGAAAACTCACATCCTCAGTGGCCACCACTCGCCTTCACATGGCCTGGCCACCCCAGTGCCCTCCCAACTAACTCTATCCTGCTGGTTGGAGGGTCTCATCCCTTAAGGAATACGGGGAGACTGGAAGCCGAGCCACTCACTCCCTATCATTCGAGCTGAGCAAGACTTCCTGAGGGAATTTTTCAGCTCGGGCAGGCCACCCAGTGATTAAGAACAAATGCATCTGGTCAAACACACTTGAGCCTGAGTTCTGACTCCTCTGAAACCTACCTATGTGACTGTGGGCACAGCACTTACTCTATCGAGGCCTCAGTTCTGCATCTACAAAATGGACATAACAATACCTAATATTTACTAGACATTGTTCTCTATGGTAGATATTGGCTATTTGCTTTATCTGAAAACTATCAAAATAACTGTATGGGAGATAAAGGTATATTCCCATTTTTCAGGTGAGGAAACCGAGGTTTAGAGAGGTTAAGAACTTGCCATGTTCACACAGTGAGTAAAAGTCAGGACTCAGTCTTCTGCACCCCTCTTCCCAGAATTCTTGCATTTAATCATTGCAGGATATGACCACAGTGTCACTACCTAACTCACAGGACGACTGTGAAGCTAAAGTAAGATAATGCCCTTATCACAGAACCTGTCTAAACAGGAGTGTTATTGCTTTTGACATTATTTTCCAAGGGCTATCTTGGAACCTCCAAATGTGCCCTGGCTTCAAGGCTACAACCTAGGGCAGCAAAAGCTTGGCAAGCTCCAGAAGGAACCCAGCCAGAGCCTCCTTGGCAGGTGGCCCAGCATGCACACCCTTTAATAGTCCAGGGTCTTCTGTAAATATGCCAACAGCAAATCAAAGGCTCCGAAGCAAATCTCACGAGTTACTCAATTTCAGGCTCTAAAGCATTTTCAGTCTTGCATCTTTCACATCAGCCGAAAGTTCTTCCAAGTTGCCAGCTTGTGGGTCCTCCACTTCATCTTTCTAAATGCTGAGCCCCTCGCCAAAGAATACCATAGGTATCAACTACTGAAAGACAGGAGCAGGACCAATGGATAGGGAAGGCATTTGGGGAGGTTGCCTGACTCTCAATAAATATTTATGCCCTTGTGTAAAAATAAATATGTATACACTTGCGGAGTCAGTGTGGGAGCCAGGACTCGGCCTGGGCCTTCCCACAGAGGATTTTTCGTGCTGGATTGGGGAAAGCTGAATGACAGTTTCTTTCCCAGCCATACCCTTGAGAACCAACCTCAGACGGTGCTAATAATGGGTGCTTTCTGTTGAGAGTCGGCTCTGTGCGAGGAGATGAGTCCTTGGTATCCCTGATCTCTACAACACATGCAGTGTAGGTTTTAGTGTGTTCTCCCTTCACAGATTGGGAAACTGAGACTAGAGAAGATAAGCAGCTTGCCTAGGGTGACACAGCCACCAAGAGGAGCCAGGATTCAACCCCACTCTGTTCAGCATTGCTGTCTGAGCTCCTCCCTTCCAGGAGGCCCTGTGGGTACTCCCGGGATGGCGCCCTGGTCTCTACTAGGTCTTAGTTGCTTCTCCTCCTTTCCTCTCCCCTGAGCTAAAGGAAGGGCTGTGGCCCACTCTCGGCATCCTGAATGGTGGATGGGTGCTCTCTTTCCCTGCCCCTCTTTGGGTCTCATTTATTTTATTCCCAAGGTGATGATTTGGAGAGAAAAAGATAATCTCATTTATTGGACTGACCCAGGCTTATAGGAGCCCTTGCATATCAGTGCTTAATTGCCTCCCAGTTTACAGGACAGACTCATGTCAAAGCCCCTGTTGGAGGTACCCTCAGCATAGCTTTGTTCCAGGCTTATAGGTTTCTGGGAACACCGCAGGATAATGTCATATCCCTGTCCCCTGAAGGACAGCGATGGGTATGCCAGAGACAAAGTCAGTCCAAGCCTCTCAGGGTAACTGGTCCCACGCCAGGATGGCATAGTACCCATAGTGCCTCCTGCATCAGAATCCCCTTGGGTCCTTGCTTGTTAAAACATAGACTCCTGGATCCCAGCCCACCCTCTATATCATAATCTGCAGTGGGGTCAGGAATATTCCCAGGATTCCAGGTGGTTCTGATGTTTACAGAAATGTATACAATCTTTGAATTAGAACACAGGTTTTGGAATCAGAAACATCTGGATTCAAATCCTAACTTTGGGCAAGTTGCTTAGCCTCCTTGAGCCTCTCTCTCTTCTATTATAAAATAAGAATAGTAACTTCCCCCTAAGAACTGGGAAGAGACAGAGAGAGCGCTTAGTCTGACTGCTGAAGAGCACATTAATGTTTGCCTGCTCCAGAGCCCTTCCAGCCACACACTAAATATAGACCCTAGATGAGGTGAGTACTCAAAGAGCTCTTGCATTTTGCTTTGTAAGCCAGGGAAACTGAGGAGAGTGATTAGAGGGCCAAACTCTTTCTAATTCTAACTGATCAACAAATGTGTGGTGGATATCTGCTCTGAGTCCAGCAGCACAGACCTGAAGTTCTTACCCCTGGCAACTCAAATTTTAGTTGACATGAGGCAAAAGCACACAAGTTTAAATAAAACAAGAATAACTAAAAGAAAAAGACAACCATCAAAAGATGCTCCATGTTTACTTATCATTCAGCATTTATATTCATTAATTGTTTGTTGTATGTCACAGACTTTCCCAGGCACTGAAGACACAAGGCTGAATAACATGATACCAAACTCAAAACATTCAGTCTAGGGAACGAGACAGATGAACAAATCAGTGTTCATGATTAACTTTCTTCTGGCTGAGTAGGAAAGAGTTAAGTTCCACATTTAAAATGAAGAGCCTAGGAGATCAGCTCTAATATATGAAGCAAGAAGGCATCCGAGGGCTGCTTTTTCTGTCTTAGAGAATCCAGAGCTTCAGATTCAAAGTCTAGAGGCAAATTTACCAAGTAAGCCACTGTCAAAGTTGTAATAGCAAACAGATTTGAAACTCTGTCTGAAAGTAGCATGAAGTATGAAAACACAAGTAAATCTATTCTAAATGGTTAACTACGGTTCAGGAGAAGGGGAAATACGGATAACACCCAGCCCACCTTTAATAACCCAGTAGTGCGAGGGGCCAGAGGCAAAGCTGGAGATGAGGGAAGCTAATCGCATCCACACTTTCTGCAAAACTCACGGCTTGGTGCCTTGAAAGGAGGGAGAACATCTGTCTGTTCACTGCTCTACAGCCAACACCTAGCAGAGTGCCTACACAGTCACTGGTTTCTTATGAACACTCACTGAATGAATGAAGAGCTGCATGAAAGACAAGGCCATGGTCCAGATCCAAGCCAGCCAGCAGACCGAGGAACTGGTAGCAGACAGCTCTTTCTAGAGTCCAAAGTTCTCTGCGTTTTGGACCTGTGTATCCAACTATTTGTCACCCCCTTTGAGATGTCTCAAAGGATACCTCAACCTCAGAAGGGATGAACTTGTGCTCCACACACTTTCCTACAGCTCCGCAGCTCAGTGAATGCTCCCACTCTCTGTTTAGTTACATAAGCTGGAAACTAAGGACACATCACTTCACAACCTTTCCTCACTCCTCAACACCCAGCCGTCCCTGGGTGCTGTTTACTTCCTAAAATTCCCTCAAATCCATCCCTGCCGTTACTCTAATCCAAGCCAGCATCTTTGTCCACAGCTAGTATAGCTGCCTCTGGGCTCATCCAACCCACGTCTGCCTTGCTGGCCTCTCTCCCTCTTGCTCCTCCCACTACCTGCAAATCTTTTTCTTCCCATCACCTGGTCATTAGCTCCTCATCCGTTAGATGAGACACCTGCCCTCTCTCTCTCAACTATGGCAAAGCCCTGTCATAAACTCTGCAGACTTCTCTCTTGTGACACTCGCTACAGTGGTTGTTTTACCATCCAGTGTCCAAAGGCCAGCAGGTGGCTTCCTAAGCCACAGGGGCCGCTATATGAATGCACTTGGTAACAAGCAGGATGGCAGAAGGGAGAATGTTCCTGTGGTAGGAACTCAGTTTAAGCAAAGATCTTCTGTGAAGAGAGGGAGAGAGAAAACTGTCATTTTGTGCTTCAAAGGTCTTTAGAGTTAAGGAGGGAGGCCCTTGGCCTGCTCTGCTTCCAGCAGGTGCCTTTGACTCTGAAGTTGCCAGTTTAAATGCTCAGAGCACCCCGTGTAGGTGCCATCAATGGCAAAGTAAGCTCAGGGGAGGCAAAATGAGGGTGGGACTGGTGCCCACTTGACGCCTGCCAGCACGAGAGCAGCTCCAGCCAGGCATGGCCTTGTGGGAACACCAGCCTCTGTGCTTGGGTCTTGTCTTATTTTTCAAGAAAAGCCCCAAATCAAAATTTTATGTAAAGTCTCTTGACCTTTAAACTCTGGCAACTAATTCAGAAATTAAAAAAGACAATTCAGGAGCCAAATAAAACATACCTGTGTTCTGGCTTCTGCAGGCTCCAGTTTGCCACCTCTGCATTAGACTGCTTGTTTTCCCTGCCCCAGCCCCACATGGCCTCGGCACCAATTCCTCCGCCACCCCTCCAAGGACTGCAAGTGGGACTGGCTCCTGCTGCTGGTCAGTATTGCGTTAAGCTTAACTCAATCCTCCGAGGACTGTTCCCGACTTCTCCCTTCCCCCCTCACCCCCATTTCATGCTAGCCTCCTTACCAAGCACGAAGATCTCTTGGATCTAGGCCACCCATTCACTCATAAATGTCTTTCCCTTCTGAACAACTTCAAAAGAGCTTTCTTTGCAGGGCTGCTCAGAGGGGCAAAAGCCTGCTCTGGATCTCCATGTGGCCTCTCCCGCACTCCTGCATCCCCACCCTCCCCACCCTCAGTCCTCCATGTAGCAGTTCCTCAGGCCAGAGACCTAGACCTGGAAGGAAAGCAGTTGGAAAACCACTGTTCCAGTCGTCCCTCAAGGATTAGCACTCAAAATCGGACTCAAAGGCCAAGTCAGAAGACCTGACACTCCGTCACACCATGAAACTGGAAATCTCCAAATGCCACTACCCTGCCGTCCTCCAAACCACCAGGAGACGAGCTACTGTTGGAACAGGGGTGGGTAGAGCCCAGATGGAAGCCTCGGGCAGACTCAGACAGTGCTCACTTTAGGAGGTGGGGAGTTCACAGCAGGAGAGAAAGGGGTGCAGCTCCAGATTGCCTGACACCTGGATGCCCTACAGGCACCTGAAAACCTGCAGATCTCAACTGTCCCCTCTGTTCATCCCCAGCCCTCCCTTGTCCTCTCCTCTCCATCTCCAAAGATTGCACCAACTGGTCACCAAGTATGACTCTTCTGAGAAGCCACATTCAAAGTCACTCAGTCACCACGCCTACAGATTGCATCCCAGAATATCTTCCAAATCCACCTGTCTCCATCCCTGCACCCCGGGCATGTTCCGGCTGCAGCTCCCTTACCCAGATGACCTCACTCCCTCTTGTCTCACCCTGGGCTTATCCCATCATGCTGCCTGAGCATCTTCCAAAAACATAAATCTGGTCATGCCATTCTCTTGCTGAAAACCCTCCAGGGACTCCCTATTGTCCTTCAAAATATAATCAAAATGCTCAGCAGAGCCCGGCCCCTCCTGCCCCAGGGATCTCACCTTGGGCACGTCCCCAGGGGCCCGCAGCCTTACAGGACTGCTGGTTTTTCCTCAGAGCCTGTCCAGGCTCCTCTTGCCTCCATGTCATCACACTTGCTATTCCGACTGTCTTCAAAGTCCCTTCCTCCCCTCCTCATCAGTGTGGCAATGTCTGTTCGTCCTTCCAGGCTTGGCTGAGGTGTCTGATCCTGCGGAAAGTCTTCCCTAATTCCCCACCCCCACCCCACTTACCCCGCTTCTTTTTTTATGCTCTTCAGATACTGTCATGAGATTACTTAGCCCATGATCCTGCAACATTGTTTTTGTGCATCTCTCACATTAGACAGTGAGCAACTCTAAGGCACCGAGCATGTCTCAGACACACTGGAAGCCCAGGACCTAGCCTGGAGTAGGCACTTGCCATCCGCCTGTGGAGTGAATGACTGAAATATTCTAACCTTGGCGCTGAGTTTAGGAGTGGGTTGATTCCAAACAGTCGCTTTCTCAGCACACACAGCTTATTTTTAGCATTAGTAGTTTATCTCCCAGTGAAACTTGGTGCCAGCTGTGGTCACCTGTTTGACTGCTCTCTGAGCTCTGCCTTTAACTAGAAATTAATTTGGCTTCCTTAAGCTTTCCCTGCCCAGCAGAGAAACTTCTGCTGGGTAAATCCAAAGTTGTGGGCAATTTTTCTTTTTCTCTTTAATCTCTTTCTCTTGTGCACCAGTTCCAATTTTGTGCTTTCTGGCTCCCTCCTCCCTCGGAGCCTATTTTTCAATCTGTCATCTCCCACCCTTCACAGATGCTGACTCACCTTGGATCATCACCTTCCCAGCTGCTTATCTCAGGGAAACTGAGGCCGACCCTGCCAAGGGACTCAGCCACATTACTCTGGAAGTCTGGAGCAGCGCTGACAATGGACACCGGAAGTGAAAAGTCCTCAACCCCAGTGTGCTGTCCTCCGCCCAGACCATGCCTCAGTGGGGAGGAAGTCAGGGATGTTAAAGGCCAACTCTTCAGCTGGAAGTCCCAGCCAAAAGCAATGAGGACACAGAGCATGATAAGGAAGGTGCAGGTGGGTGCAGGTGGGTGCAGGATCTGTAGCTCACCAAGTCCTATTTTTGGTTAGACCGTGTTCACTGGCCCCCCAAGAGTCACCTAATGGTCTATGCCTGGCAGGGAGTGCTTCCGCCTCCCAGCAGACCCGAGAGCCCTGCATTATATGCCCAGCTGTCTCCTCATTAACACCTCCTTCTCCCCAACCCTCACCCCCATCTGCCTCCTGTCCTGCTCTCTTGGCAAGAGTCCATTCACACACCACACAAGCTCCAAAAGCAAGGTTGGCATGTCTCTGTTGAAAAAGTTTGCAAAAACCTAAAGGGGGCCTTGGGTGGGGAGCATCTATTGCTTCAACATGGAACTGAGAACCTGCCAGGAATTCTTGGGGAAACCAAGGAAAAATGCATGGTGATTTGTTGAGGGCACTGGAAAGTTAAGAAACTTACCCAACGGCACACAGGAGCTAATCAGAGGAGCCACCAACTCCGTATTTTGTACAAATAGCAAATAGCTTTGTATACAAAGTCTGTGGCATTTTCTACATTACCCTACAGAAAGTTCCTATAAAATGAATGTTCTTATTTGGGGGAGAACGTTCTGCAATGTCAGAACTCCCTGCTTTGAGTAATGGGCAGCTGTAAGACTTCAAGAGCAAAGCATGTGTGGCTGCACTTAGAAATTGACAAAGGCCCCCCAGCACCTATGTGAGCAGTGCTCCCTGCTCAATTCCAAGGCAAACCCACTCTCCAGGAGCCACAGTCTTGTGAAGAAGATGCCAGAGGCATGAACAGAAGTGTGAAATTTGAAATTAACGTACAAGATTGATCAGATAAAACAAGTTTCTGGGCATAAGATTATATAATCCCTTAGAGTTCATAAAAAGGAACCATCAGATAAGTCAGCCATCTTATCATTTTAACTGAAGTGGCTAAACCAGCTTCAGTTGCAAAAATAGAAAAATGTTAGCTTCATGTTTCTCTGTTAGTAGGCAAGGAAGGGTGCAATTTGCCTTTCGTAGACTAAGCAGCAACAGTCAGGATTTTTAAATTCTCCTCTCATTTATATTTAAAAGAGAGAAATCCAAGGAATTCCAAATTCATTTACCCCAAGTGGACAGAATTTGCCTCTTGCTCCAATAGGCAATTACAAGGAGACATGTAAACTATACAACCATGAGCTCTCATGCAGCTGGAAACTGGAGAGAAAAAGGTCCCTCCTTATTTACTGATACGAAAGTCACCATCTTTGTGTATAAACCCAACTACAAAGCAAGGTTCAAATGAGTCCCCACCCTCGCCCGCAAAGCTTCAGGAATACCAAATAAACCCCTCCAGCCAACTATGCCAGCCGGGGTAGAAGCTAAGGGATAAAAATGCTAACTTGAATTTGTACCATGATGCATTCCCTCACAACGCCTTCTTCAAATGCTCTTCTGTCCTAGACCCCTGTGTTCCTGCTACTCAGCCTTTTTTATCTCCAGCATCTAACTCTCCTGGGTGGAAGCAGGCATTCCTCCCGATGTGCTAGATCCGTGGGCCCAAATGGCAGTAAAAGGCAGTGGCCTTGATTTGGCAACTCCCAATAAGCATTGAAAATTTTCATACCTTTTTACTCAAAAACAACACTTTAAGGAATTTACCCAAATGAAATAGTCAACAATGAGTATAACTATGTGCCTGCAAATATTGTTTAAAATGATCTAAAAATTAAAAACAACTTAAATCTTCATAAATGTTGGTCTTAGGTAAACTATGATATGCCTATATGTGGAAGTAAAAATACTATAGAAGCAATATAAGAAAAGATTAATAGATTGGATTATATAAAAATACGAGTATTTTCTATGGCAAAAAAATAACATTTACAATACCATAAGAGAAATGGGTAAATTATTTGCAGCGTGTATGGCAGGCAAGCTAATTTATCTGATATAAAAAAAACTCTTTAAGATCAATGAAAAAAGAACAACCCAGTTTAAAAAGGGCCAATAACCACATGAAAAGATGTTCAACTTCACACAATTGAAGAAATTATATTAATAGCTTGATTCAATCTTTCGTCTATAATATCAGCAAAGTCCAATAATATCCAGGACTTAGAAAAAAAGTTGTTCTCATTCATTGTTGGTGGAAGCATAAATTTAAAGGGCAATTTGATCATTTGAAAATGTTAAATTCTAAAATATTTCCACTGTAGGAATTTATCCTTGCATATGTACTTACACAAGCACATAAAATATATACATAAGGTGTTTACAGAGTGTTGTTTATAATATCAAAAATGTAGAACAAAATAACAAATAAATTGTGGTACCTGTGTAATGTACTTTACAATAGACTACTATGCTGTTTGGCAGAATGCAGTAACTCTATATATAGTGATATGGAAAACAATGCCCACAATACACTGGTCTGTTAATTGATAAGTAAATACAGAAAGCTGAAGAATATTAAGTATAAAGAACTTCGTTTGTGATATATACATACTTTTTTTCACGTAAGCATAGAGAATATATTGAAAGATTTGAAAGAAATATAAATAGTGGCAGCTTCCAAAGGATAGCATTTGAGGGGAAGGGAGATTTTATACTTTATTTCCTATCATTCTCAACTATTCAATTATTTATTTTAATGATTATGTATTATTCCTGTAATTTTAGAAAACTAGCTTGACCCATTATTAATCACCTACACTGTTACAGAAACTGTTAGACACTGGGGGTAGAGTGGTGAGTGGGCAGACATGACCTCTTCTCAAGCAGTAAATCATAACATGAAATGAAAGGGACCTTTTGCAATAGGAGCAGGGAGACTATGGTAAGAGGAAGAATGCTCGGACCTGAACATCTGCAAGTCAAGCAGAAAAGGGCTTTACTTGGACGGGAAGGATTGAGCACAAATTGGTTATGGGGGACCAGTATGATCAGACCATTGGTGAGGGGCTGTTGTTCTTTGTGGTCAGCCTATTTTCAGGAGGGGTGGAAGAGTGGGGACTGTTCCATATTCCATTGCTGGCTCAGGCTGAGCATGGGTCAAAATTCAGGGTTCAGGGGTGGAAAGTGGGGTGGAGGAAAAGCCTAACTAAGGTTTGACTAAGACAAGTCGGTGGACATTATGTCCCTTTTCGTCAGTGGGAGCAAAGAGTTCAGCTAATCACTTTTGAAACACAGAAAGGGAATTCAGAGGGTCTGAGTCTGCCCTTGCAATAACAGGGGTCTCCCTGCTTCTTATCTAAGTCACATTGGGTAGGATGGTTTTTTGCAGCAGCCATTCCAGGAACACAAACAAGTCAGCGATTACCTGACCATGGCTGTTTCCCAGAAGAGGACTCAGGCAAGGCATCACCTTGTCAGGGACAACCATAGCCCCCTCAAACAGCTTTAATTCTTGGGGACTTAAGAATTAAGCAAGAAAATGAGTAAATAAATAAAACTTATATAACTACCAGCAGAAGCTTCAGAGAGGGAGTGATTTCTGGCCCCAGAGGAGACCATATCTAGTGCACAGTTCGTTTCTTAGCTTTTCAGTTTCAAAAATCTATCTGTATCTGCCCGAAACAGACTGAGAGATCACTGTAACAGAACAGATGGCAATGAAACGGACCCGATTATGTACAAAGATGTAAGATTCATTACAGCTCAATGAGGGAAAGAAAGGATTACCCAATAAATGGTGTTGGGGCAATTAACTAGCAATTTGGAGAAACAGTAATTTTAGAATCCCACTTTATGTCATACACTAAAATAAATTCCACCTGAGTGGAAGGGTTAAATGGTTTTTTTTTTAACATCAAAATCTTAGAAAAATAGGATTGAATATTCTCTAAACCTCTAGAGGAAAGATAACTGTATAGGCTTAGAAGCAATACAAGAAATGTTTTTTTGAAGAGTAAGATCTATAAGTTTAGCTACAAAAATGTAAAGTATAAAAGCAAGTAACAAACAAAAAATACTGCAGCAAATGTGACAAGGAGGAACTATACTTAAAATAATTAAGCCCTCATCAGTATGGATCAGAAACAAATTAGGACTTTAAAAGGCAGGACAAAAGATAATGCACAAAAAAGTGATGTAACTCGCAAACCAAGACTTGAGATATTCAGTTCCCAGAGAATAAAAAATATAAATTAAAATACAAAGTTACCATTTGTCTCTGCTAATTAGCATAAACTGATAATAACACCTCTGGGGCTTCTGTTTCTGGTTAGGCTGTAGACAGCCTTAGGTGGTTGTTGACACCCACCTTGTCCTGAGAACTAGCTGAATAAGCCACAAAATCACAGTTTTTAAAACCATCAGGGCTTGGGATGCAAAGAAACCTAAATAAATTAAATTCTAACAGTGATAAGCTCTTCCTAGGATAGAAGAGATTCATGGCTGCTTCCATCTATGAAGATGTGGCAGGAAGGGGAAGAATCTGCCATAGACTCAGGAAAAGAGATAACTGGCCAGGCTTGTAACAACATTCAATGGCTATCTGTGAGCTCCTGTGACAGATCAGAATTCCAAAGAGCTCTAGCCACAGAGTGAGTCTGCACCCTCTCACTTGCCGGTGCCCTTGTATAGCTCTTCATTGTGACCACAGGAAGAGGAGACCCAGGCTGTGGGCAAGCAAGACGACTGATAGAATTCCCGCAAGGCCTGCAGGGACTCAGCCAAGTGCCAGAGCTGCTGGAGCCAGGGCAGGACCCACAACAGAGAGAAGGCCCTCTAAGGGATACAGGCACTCCAGCCCAAGCAGCACGGGGCCCTCCTCAGACCTGGAGCAGAGGCAGAGGGAGGTCCCCCAGGTTGCAGAAACCTGGGGGCTGACCCTGAACCCAAAGCTGGCACCTGGCTGCCAAGAAGGAGAGAAACCGCCTATGCTATGTATGTTCAGAAAGTTGGCAGAAAGGCCGGGAGGCATAAAAATATCTCATATCAGTAGTGCTCAGAGCCCAAGCCCTGATGAAGAGTCTTGACTTCATCCTCAAAACGTCTGAAGCCAGTGGTGAACTGGACCAAACTAGAGCCGTAAGAATTCCATGCCCCGCTCAAACATAGCTCTAATTGTCTCAGGCCTTTGCACTAGCTGTCTAAAAGAAGGGATGTAACCTTTTCTGTGAGTGAATACTGTTTATTTCAATCTGCTGGTTTTTTACACACAACGTCTTATATAAATAAAGAATTAAGAGACTAAGATACCAAGCAAATGTGATAGGGTCAAGAGATTAGAGTAAATGGAAGAAGACCCAGAGATGGCTTAGATGTTAGATTATCTAACAGTGACTGTAACATAAACAGAACGAGTCTGTATAAACAAATGGGGGCTTTGGGCAGAAAGATGGAGACTATAAAAAATAGCCAAATGGGCGTGTGATTAACTCTTTAAAAAACCATTATTTTGCCTAAAACAAAAATCATAACAATGAATTATAGAGTTTAGAGCATATGTAGTTATAGAGCATAACAATGAATTACAGAGTTTAGAGCATATATAGCAGGAAAATCTATGACAATAGGAGCATAGAGGATGGGAATGAAGTAAATGTATTAATAATGCTACAGAGGTCTTACGGTGTTAGTGAAATAGCATATTGTTATTTGAAAGTATATATTGGTAAATAAATGATTCATAGAGAACTCACTAAAAATAACAAAAATAGGTGTAGTGAAAAAGTCACTAGAGATCAAAGGATAATTAGAAATATTTAATTCACGTAAAAGGATGCAGAAAAGGAGGAATCGAGGAAAAAATGGATGGGACAAATAGAAAACAAATAGCAAGATGATAAACCCAAACCCAATCCTATCAATAATTACATTAAGCATAAATTACTAACTGCTCTAATTTAAAAGCAGAGATTGTCAGGCTGTATGAGAAATCAAGCCTGAACTATAGCCATTTATAAGAAATGTCATTTCATAATGATAGAAGGCAAAGTCAACAGGGTAACAATCATGAATGTCTATACACCTAATAATGAACTATCAACATACATGAAGCAAAAAATGACAGGACTAAAGGGAAAAACAGAAATCCACATCTGGGTTGGGATTTTTAACATCTCTCTCAGTAATTTGTAGGATAAGTACACAAAAATATCAGTAAGTAGATTTGAAAAACAATTTGATATTTACAGAATAAACATTTCAGAAAGCTTCTTTTCACATGCACATTAAACAGACACACAAATAGACCATCTATGCTAGGCCCCAAAATAACACTAAAATACACTTCAAGGGACTGAAATCATATAAAGTATGTTCCTGGACCACAATAAATATTAAATTTAAAACAAGTAACACTAAGATATTTACAAAATCTCCAAATATTTTGTAGTTGAGTAACAAAAACTAAAAAAGACATGCAATAATAAAAGATCACAGGAAAATTAGATACGTATTTTGAGCTGAATGGTAATAAAAACACAAAACATCAAAACATGTGATCGGTAGTTAACACTATGCTTAGACAGAAATTTACAACTTTCAATACTTGTATTAGAAAATAAGAAATGTATGAAATCACTAATATAAGCTTCTACATGAGAATCCTGATGAAGAACAAAATATATACAAAGTAGAAAAGATTAAATAATGAAAATAAGAGTGGAAATCAAGGAACAAAAAAAATGAATAAATAGAAAGAATTAAGTTCTAATCAGATTCTTTGAAAAGATTAATAAAGCTGATGAACCTCTGGCAAATCTGATCAAGCCAAAAAAAAAGAGAGAACACAGATTATCAGGAATAAAATAAGTGCTATCACGACAGGTATTTTCAAAATTAAAAGGAAAATGGGAATATTATAAACACTTTAATCTCAGTAAATTTGACAACTGATGCGAAAGGGATTGTCCCTTGAAAAAACACAATTTTTCAAAACTGACGCAAGTCAAAATAAAAAATCTAAATCTACGGATGCCTTTTTCTATTTGGAAGGAGTGCTAAAGAAGGACGGTATTAATTCTTTTTTAAATGGTTGGTAGAATTCACCTATGAGGCCATCTGGTTTTAGGTATAATAGCTCAAAATTTTAAACAACTCAAATGTTCATTAACTAGAGAATGGACAGAAAAACTGTCATAATTCCATAGAAATCTATGCAGCCATAGAAATGAATGAACCACTAATACATACAAATTCATGATGGATCTCAAAATCATTGTGTTGGAAACAATGAAAGCTAGACAAAAAGGACAATTTCTGTTAATTCCATTTATATGAAGTCCAGGAACAGGCAAAAGAATTTTTGTGGGTGATGAAGATATTCTATCTTTATTTTGGGTGGTGGTCTGAAAGGTTATGTAACTGTTAAAATTCCTCAGTCTCAATTCTCAAAATAAGGTAATTTGATTTCATACAACTTATACCTCAATTTTTAAAAGTTTAACAGTAATATCTTTGGCTGATAAGGATGTACTGAAACAAATAGTCCCATAATTGGACATTAATTTTGGAAAGCATTTTGGCAATATTAATCAAGAGTTATAAAACGTCCAAACATTTAACTCATAATTTATTTAGGCAAATCTACTCTTTTATAATTCAAAATTATAGAAGGAACATGCATAAAAATATTAACAGTATTTTGTAATAGTGTAAACTGAAGCAATTCAAAATGCAACATTGGATAACAAGTAAAGAATGTGCAATAAATATACTTAACAAAATATATTTTGGTCATTGATATTATAGTTCTCATGACTATATAACAAGCTGATGACATATTTAAGCTACAATCCTTTACGCCTTGTAAAAATATAGATAGGAAAAAACACAATGATAAATTGTTCTTCAGGGAATATTTTCTTAATTTTCAGCTTAGGTATCTGAATTTTTATATTGTCCTTTCCTTTAACATTTTGTTCAATTCTTTTTAAAACTTTTTCTTTTTTCTTGATATTTTTGCAATATTGAATTTCAAGAACACAGTCTTTTTCTCCAATTATTCACATATCATTTATCTCCTTCCATCATTTTCTTTATTTAAATTGGATTTTTATTGCACAAGAAATCCATGGTTATATTTCCATAATTTTTTCCTATATATAAAAAGATCTGTTTCACCTAATCGTTTTCAATTTCCAGAAAATAACTTTTTAACTGGACTTTATGAATAAAACTAATGGGATAGTTCTTTTCAATGACTCAAATGCTCATGCCTACCAGAATTAGATATGCAGCCAAATATTATGTCATTAATGTAAAACATTAAATATATTGACTTTAAAAACAACAACATTTTAAGAGTGGCTAGTCTCTAGGTAGTGACATAAGGTAAAAATTCTTTTTCCTTGTCTGATTTTCCTATAGTGAACATGTATGACTTTTGTGATAAAAAGAAACAACAGACTTAAATCTCAATTCAGGCTCTATCCCTCCTCAAGCCACGAACTCAAGCCTGACCCAAGACAGGGCCCAGGAATGCAGGGTCCCCAGGCCAGAGGCTTCCCCATTAGGCACACATCTTGCCATTGCTCTTCTGGCACCTTGACCTTGCACTTCCTCTTTCTGTGCTACTCTCTTGAACTTAATAACCTGACACTCTGGGGCTTCCTCTTCTGGCCCTCAGCCTTGCACCTACCAGTCCCACTGTCCTTATACCCCCCCATCCCCTTAAGTGCAGGAGGCAGGGCCCCTCAATCTGGTCTCTTCTGGTCCTGGGCTTCTTGGTGTCACACAGGCAGCTAGAGCAATAGCTACACCGACCTTTCCTCCCCAGATCCCCAGCAAGGGAGCATGCTATGGAATGCCTGTGAAACATCATCATCTCCCCGTCTCCCAGTAGAAGCGAATAGAGTTAGAGGAGGCTGTCGAGGGTGGGATGGTAGCAGGCGCCTCCCTGGAGAGCCCACTCTAGCCTTCCTCGCCTGTCTGTGTCTCCTCCTCTCAGCTTAGATCCTCTCTCAGGAGCCTGGCCAAGCCTGGTGAAGGGAAGCTAAAGAGGTGACTACAAATGGAAATGAACGTCCTGCTGAAAAGAATTCAGAGTGGTGATAAATAGTTTTATGGGGCCCTGGCATATTGCAGGCAGCAGAAGACTGTATCTTCCCATCCACCCCAAGTATATTCTTTGTCCCCCACTTCTTCCTAACCCCTGCCCTATAGCACTTAGAAAGAGGAAGAGGGACAACGCCCCATGGGGAGGGGCAGGGAATGGCTCCAATGACAGGGAACCTCATTCAATCTGTCTCCTCATAGCTGTTCAGTCACTAATTGACTTTTCCTCCTCACCTTAATTTTGACGATGGTGTCTTAATCAATTAACTCTGTCACCAAAGCTGCAGGGTGCCACAGATGAACTCCCCAGGTGCTCCACACAATTTGATAGGTAGGCTGTCCCTGGCCAGCTCCATGGGTAATGGCCTGAGCCAGTCCTGGTCCCATGAGGGGGCAGGGACACGTGATTCTCTTGCTGTTTGCCATGGGGCCCAGCCAGCAGGAAGAGAGTCGGAATGCCTAGATTGCTGTTTTCCGTCTCTGACAGCGTAATACATTCCGTTTCTCTTTCTGCATTCTCACATGCATACAGAGTTCATCAGGGACACCATGGCCAGCGGGAGAGATGGATCACCAGTGTTGTTCCTGGGTAAGCCTCCTGGGAGCGCCTTTGCTCGCTCACTCCCTCATCATATCGCATTTTATTTGTTTTTGACTGGTCTTTGCTAGATTTGTGGGGAACAGGGATCCAAAGAAATAAAAATTATGGGCCCTGCCCATAAGACATTCATAATTTTCATTGAAGAGATATGACATTCTCATATAAAAATAGATGCCAAGATCTGGTGTTTGAAGACAGTGTCCAGGTGGCAACGTCAGTTGTCCTGGATATTTTGGCCACGTGTCCCCTCCTCACTTCTAGGACCCTCCGACATATTTCAAACATGCTTTGAGTAACTGCAATGGACCCACCACCAGGTGGAGCTTTGGCAGGAGAAATTAAACAGTACCTGATAACTCTACATGGAAAGCCTGCAAGGCCGGGCCAGACCAAGTCTTCCCCCAGTGTGCCTCCTGCAGAGGGCCCTGCCCTGATAGTATTCTTAGGGCTCTACCCAAAAGGAACTGCCTTACCACGTGATTTTTTATCTAAGACACACTTTTCTAAATTATCCTACTTCTCATGTCTCCTATTTTCAGTCTTGATCTACTTTTTAACCTACCTTAGTCACCAAACGTTAATACCCTCTCTTTAAATAAATTTTTAAAAAGTCCTAATGGCTTCCTATAGCCCTTAGAATAAAATCTAATCTCCTCACCATAGTCTACATGATAGACTGTATTGTCAGTTTCAAAACCTACTGCTCCTGTGGCATGCTCAGTTCCACACAGAAGCTTTAAGGCCATCACATGGTCCTCCACCTTCTCTTTTCCCTCCACTAGGAGACCAGAAGTGTCCTAGATAGGAGCTGTCCCACCTCCCTAGATCTCAGAGTGAAGAAATGTGCAGCCAATCCACAATGGACACATAGCATGAATAGTAAGTAAGCTTATTTATTGTATGCCACAGATAACCCTGATTTGAGGGTCTTTCGTTACCATGAAGCTTAGCTTAACCTGACTGATACATTCTACAATGCACTCTGACCCCTGAGCACTTCTCTAATTTCATGTCCCACCTTCCATCCCCTCACCCAATACACTCCAAGCACCCTGGCCTTCTTTCTCTTTCTTGAACATGCCACATTTGTTCTCACCTCAAAGCCTTTGCATATGCTGTTCCTCTGCCTGGATTGCTTTCCCTGAGGTCTCCACATGGCTGGCCCTTCTTCATTATTCAGATCTTGGTTCTAATACTAGCTTCTTAAGAAATGCCTGCCCTGAATCCCTATCTAACGTAGCCTCCAGTCATTTTCTATCATGTTATCCTGTCTTATTTTGCATCAGTTTGCTAGTTTATTGTTTCCCCCACCTCGGAATGAACACTTCACAGAAGTGGAGATCTTGTGCATCACAGTCACTGCTGTATCTCCAGACACCAGAAGGCCATCTGACACTCAGTCCTGTGTCAGGAGTAAATGAATATCTCTTCAAAACTTGAAAACATTTTCAGCTGCCAACAGGACCCCTCTTCCCAGAAATTCTCAGACTCAGCAGACCCAAAGGAAAATTCCTGACGCTGTCATCTCTTCCCTCACCCAACCTCCTCCACATCCTCGAATTCCTGATTAATGACACCGTCATTCACCCTGCCACCCGCCCCGCCTTCAGGTGCTTCTCCACTCCTCCCTCCCACTCACTTCCTCCACTCCCAAGCAGTCACCAGACTGACGCTCTTTTTTAAACCTCTCTAATCTACTCCATCCTTATTCCCCCACCCCTGCCCTCACCCAGGCCCTTACCATCCGTTGGCTGGATTATCACAGTTTTTGCAGAACAGGGTTCCCTGTTTTCAATTTTCTCCCCTCCCATCCGTGCTGCACACTGCCACCAGAATTATCTTTCTAAAATCTGGTTATGGCCCTCCCCTGTTTAGGAGGAGTTCAAAGGAGCTACAGGATAAGGCTTAACTCCTTAGGGGCTATGAGATGCCTTTGCGCTCTGGCATCTGCCAACTGCCCTGTGTCTCTCCCACTCACTGCTGGACGCCTGGCCCCCTCCAGCCCCGTTGAGCCAGGGCAGCAGCGCCAACGTGAGTTTGCACTCATTGCTGCCTCTCCCTGGGATGCCCTGCCTCAGTCAACCCCTTGCCCCCTAATGCACACACAGTCCCATCAGCGTCCTCCCACTGCTGCTCTTAGTTCTGTTATCAGTTCTCCCTCTACGTTGCCTCTCCCAGCTCCTCCCTCCCCTCCTCCTGTGAAAATGAAAATAGCTCTAATGATGAGCTCCATCTTTTCTCAGCCTGTAACACTTTATGCAAACTTCTGTTCTAAGACTCTTCACGTGGCATAGTGTGCTTTCGGGGATGGCTTGTCTGTCTTCCTTAAGGGCTCGACAAGGGACCTTTCATGTTTGAATCCCCACTACTTAACACAGCACCTGATAGATACATTGCTGTGCTCAATGAATCTTGTTCTAGTAAGCACATGATAGAATAAATGGTATTACGTAAGTATGAGGAGAGAGAATCATAGATGGACTAGCTACATAACAGGCTAGGGAGCTTGTTTGCATGATATGACCAGGAAAAATTTGTCCATGCTCGTGGTATCAACCCTTAGTTTCAATTCTGCCCTAATAAAGCTACCCTATAAAATGGATGCTTACCTGGTATAACAGAAAGAGGATCCCAGGTTTTTAGGAGCCCCAGGCACTCATTTTAGTTGGTGTTCTGATTTACTGCTCAAATAGCTTTTTCCCACATATGTATTATAAGAAAGGCTTCACTCATGTTGCTCCAATTTGCAGATTCTAAGAGGCATTAAGTAATGGCCCAAAACTACACGATCAGGGAGCAGCAAAGTTAGAACCTGAACTCAGGACGTGTCTCTAAGCTCTGTGATGCCCTCACCCAGTGGGCTGTCTTCCCCTCCGAGAGCCTTAGTAAGCAGATTATCTCTGTTCCCAGCATGTCCAAAATGCTTTAATTCTGATACTCTGACCCCCCGGGGCTGCCTTGAATCTCTCTTCCCACCTAGCCTCTCACAGTCCGGAGAGCCTATGAGAGCCCAGCCTGTGGGGGCTGGGCCAGGGCCTCCCACCTACCTCCAGCTCCTCACCCAGGAAGCACAGGTACCCTCCAGGCAGGGCAGCAGGGTCCTCAGCACAGCTGGTCAGAGGACTGGCTGTCATTTTAGGAGACTCAGATTCCAACCTAACACTATCTGAGGCTCAAAATAACCCCTCCAGTCTTCCTGCTTATTTCTTAAATGCAGTTCTTAACAGTAATGATGGCACCTCTTGGGGGGAGGAGAAAGAAGGGATTTAGGGTGAGAATTGGTTTCATGTCACCTAAAAGGATTATTTTATGCCATCAGAAAAATAATTCCCCTCCTACCAGGGGAGGATGGATTAGGTCTTTACTTCAGATGGTACTTTATGAAAAGATTATTTGAAGATTATAGACAAAGTGGATACATTTGACAACATCTGCTAGGGTTGGGATTTTTTGGCTGCCTGAGAAACAACTATTATTTATACCAGTAATAGACTGCCTGCACTGGTGCTCACCTAGTGGCTGTCTGCCCACAAAAGTGCACATACTCCTATTGTGGAGTTTTCTTCCCCGTGTCCCCCCTGATTTTCAACTAAGAGTGACATAAAATGCCACCACCTGCATGACATCTTCCCTGAGCACCACTAGTAGTCACTCTTGCCTCCAGACTCCCCTGCTGGAAGGTATTATCACAGGCTGTGCTTTGCAGGAGCTCTACCTGCTTGTGCCTTCTCTGGACTGGAACCCGAGCATCTTACACACATCGTTATTCAGGCCCTTTAAGGCTGTGGATACAATAGGCAGGGAGAAATGTAAAAGCTTCTCGGTGCCTGCAGGTCTCAGCTATCCCCCCACAGTGTAAGGAAAGAGGGTCTGGAGGACACCAGTGTTCCTTGGGACGGGTTCTGCCCATCTGAATCTCACCATGTTGTACCCACACAGGAGCCGACGCTGGGAGCTGCCATCCTGAGGGGCCTCTAAGAGGCCCTCCTGCCCAGCGTATCAGGCGGACACGGGGACTCCTGCTGCTCACTTACTTTATGGTGGGGCAGTGTTGAGAAAAGCATCGAGGAGCAATCCTGGATTGCTTTTCTGAGAAGCCCCTGGGCATGGCACAACAGAAGCAAGTCTGGCTTTACTCAGAGGTGAAGCAGGCTGTGCCCTGAATCCCCAGAAGTCTGTGAATGGAGCCTATACCCATTCATGGCTTTGCCACCCTCAATGGCTGCCAACTGCTCCAGCTTCTCCCCCATCACTGACCTCCACCTACATGGAAACAATGCCAGCCTCCTGCTTCAGACTCCCCCCTGTTTCTAGGAATCACACAATGTCTCCAGCCAAGACTGCTCCCCCCTTGGCCCTTCTTCAGCCCCTGAATTCCTCCTGCACACCTTTAGACTCAGCTCAGCTGTTATCTCCTCTGTGGAGCCTTTCTAAATGCCTCTAATTGATTTGGGGCATCCTTGTTTTCTTAGTATTCATTATCCAAATACATACAGAGAGGCAAAAATCACCGTATCTGAAAACATTCTCTAATAAATGGCCACTCACAGTAAATACTCAACAACTATTTATTGAGTGTCCATTATGCACCAGGCACTGATATGTACACTTGGGACACAGCAATGAACAGACAAATATCCCCATCCTGTAGGATTTACATTCCAGCAAGGGTTGGGGGAGTTGTCGATATCAGTATATAATAAATACAATAGCAATAACTTAAATGACATGTTACAGATTGATAAGCGTGTGCAAGAAGGAAAAAGTAGAGAAGGGTAAAGAGGAAAGAGAATATTGGGGATGACAGAAGGGAGGGGAGGAACAGGGTTAAATGGGTCTCATCCTGCAGGTGACTTTCAACCACAGGTCAAAAGACAGAAAGGAATGTTCACGCAGACTTCTGGAGGAAAAATATTCCTACAAACTGTGACCCCAGCCAAATCCAACCTTCTACTTGTTTTCAGATGACCTGCCAGCTAAGAATACTTATTAGATTTTTAAAGAGTTGGAAAAAATCAAAAGAAGATTAATATTTCATGACACATGAAATTCAAGTGTCAGTGTCCATAAAGTTGTATTGGGACACAGCCACCCTCACTTGTTTATGTATTGTCTGTGGCTGCTTTTGCGCCACAACAGCAAAGCTGAGTAGCCGTGACCCTCAAGGCTTAAAATATTTACTATTGGCCCCTTGCAGAAAAAGCACTGAGCTACAGGAAAGGCCCCTGGGCAGGAGCAGGAATGGGTAGCAGACAAGTGTGGCTGGAGTGAGCAGGACCCTGACCAGGGAGGAGGAGGGCACAGTGGAAACAGGCTGGGAAGGAGTGCCGATCGTGTAAGATCTTCAGGCCATTGGTCTGAACTCAAGCAATAGAAGCCACTGCTGGATTCTGATTAAAAGGATCACTTGGTTTTAGAGAATGGCTTCAGCAATTCTACTGAGGATAGACTGTTCTGTGGGTGGTTCTTGCCATTATCTAGGCACTAAAGGATAATGGCTCAGACTAGGGTGGAGGTACTGAGTCTAGGTGACAAGAGGTGGTCCAATTCTGAATATGTTTTGGACAAAGAGCCAACAGGATTTCTTGGTGGACTGGACATGGGACATGAGAGAGAGATCCAGAAGGACTCAAAGCTTGGCAGGAACACTTAGAAGGAGGGAAAATATCACAGGTGCTGCTTAGCAATGCTGGGTCTGAAACATCTACTAGACATGCCACTGATGATGCCGAGTGTCAGTTGGGTTTATGAGTCTGTATTCAGAAGAGAGGTCAGGAGTTATAAATAGATATGTGGCATATAAAATTGTGGGACTGGATGAGATCACCAAAGAAGTGCCCTCAGAAAAGAAGATGACCAAGGACTGAGCCTCGGACAGGCAGCCTTAGGGACTCAGACAAGAAAGGAAGGAAGCATCGGAGGACACTAATGGGAGGGACCAACAAAGCAGGGAGAAAGGAGGCTATAGCGGAAGCCGGCAGAGAGGCTGTGCTGGGGTAGAAGGGGAGAGCGCCCTGTCGAATGCTGCCCCTCTGTGAGCAAGATGAGGGCTAAAATGGTCACTGATGTAGCAACATGGAGAGCTTAGGTGGGCTTTACAAGAGCAGGCTTGGTGGAGAGACCAGGGCGAGAGCTAATGAAGTGATTTTGAGAGAGTGGGAAAGAGAAATTGGAAGACAGTGCATATAGACAACACTTTCCAGGAGGTTTGTTGCAAAGGGAAGCAAAGAGATGGGACATCAGCTGGAGAGGAAGGGCATAGTGTTAAGAATCATCTAACAGAGAGCAAACACTGATGCCACGGGGAGGGGGAGTCTTTGCCAGAGCAGGGGAGGCTGGACAGGAGCATTGCACATGTAGACAAGCCATGGAAAGCCCTCACTCCCCACGGGACTCTAGCACCCACCTGTACCACCATGTTAGGACCCTTGTCACTTTGTTCAGACTTACTCATTCATCCTGTGGACTGTCACTGAATGTCCCCCTGACACCTGGTTTGGTTCTAGGCACTGTGTATATACGGTGTGGGCAAGTCTGATGACCTCTGTTCTGTTGTAGGTTCTATGCCCTATATGAAGGGTGGAGGATGCTAGTGTGGGTAACTAAAAATCCTGAGTTCAACTGACTCAAAAGATGAAACCTTTTAATATCTCCTGTGATGAAAGTCTAGATAAATGTTCACAGCCTTGCCATTATTATAGCCTTAATCAAAATGTATCACCATTGTCTGCTTACCATCCCCTACACTGACAGCAATTTTCTTTAAAGGCGCAGTATATATAACTCTAACACTTTGAACAGTTTCAGACACAGGGAAGGAACTTTAAAAATGTTTGCTGAATGAATACATAAAACCTGAAAGATGGGGAGAAATCGTCTTTTATGATTCCTCCATAATATTCCCCCCTGAGTTACCAAGCTATACTTTTCAAAAACAAACATCCTTGTGATGTCTAACACCGCAGTGCAGACAGTTAATCACACTGAAGTACGAACAGTTTCCTTGGGTACTTTTCTTTTTAACAACCAGCTACGATCATCTGTCCCTTATCAACTGGATTTTTCCATGGACTGGGATGAAGTGGAGATCTGGGAGGGATAATGTGGAAACTAAAGCACTACTAGGTAACATAAGACTAGATAGGCCAGTGGTTTATCTTGATGACATGAATCTCCCTCTTTTGAACCCAAAGGGATTTCTATAATAGACCACCCAGAAAGCCCGAAGTTTCATCATACTATAAGCAGTCTCCCAACACCTGACTCGGCTATCACTTCCTTCTTGGTTCCTATAACATAACCCCCAAACCTCTCCAAATGTCTTCCTTTAAGTATCGTGTCAAGATCATCCTGATGGGAATGGTCACCATAATACAGGAATAAAATGAATAGAGGGAATAAAAATGAATAATGAAGGAAAGAATGGTGAAAATTTCTATGGCAATGCCCTTGAGTAGGAGAGAAGGGATGGGAGCAAGAGCCCAAGTGGGAAGGCTGTTCTAAGGCCGAAGCAGGGCCCACTCATCCACAGTTGCAGGGAGAAGGCAGCAGTGCGGGTAGGTGGGTCCCTACGCCGGCGGGAACTTCTGCAAGGTCTTTGCCGACAGCGTTCATTCTCTCAGTAAAATAGGAAGAAAGATCATCAATGGGAAGTGAAGGAGGGATGGGGAAGAGAGGGTTGAGAAGAGAGAAGGAAACAGAATGGCCATCTAGTAGAAGGGAGACAGATGGACCACGGAAGGACAGGGTAACTGCTGGGCAATGATGAGGCTCCATGTGTGCTTAGTGATCAAATATTTAAAGCAACCTTGAAGATTAGGAGTTTTAGATTAGTGATCTTGAAGGTGTGGCAGATCCAGGTGATGCCAATATCCACACTGAACTTGTGGGAATGGGTGGATCTAGAATGAAGGTCACCTGATATTATGGGACTGATTCCCGGTTCATCCCTTATTTACCATGTGCACAGTGCCTGTGCTGGGTACTTGTCACAGAATAGGTGCTCAGTGAATATTTGACTGAACACAAACATTTTATAAATTACAAAATATCAAATCTATTATATTCGGCTGTCTCCTTCTCCACACATGTCCTGGTTCTTAATCTTCTCCACTGACATTTTCTTTTTTTTTTATTTAATTGAAGAATAGTTGACATACAATATCCACCCACTCTTAAAAGTAACTCACAAGTTCAACTTCACATTTAAAATACACATGCATTTATGGATGATAACACTCGTTTCTCAAAGAAGCCCAGAGACCTGGATTATGTGTGAAGTTTGGAAAAGAGGTTATTTATTCATGCTGGTCACTTCTTTTATAACATAAAACTTTTTATAGGACATTTATTGATTAAAGCATGTTCACAACTATTATCTCCTTTTGTCCTCATAATAATCCCGAGAGGCAGGTGCAGTGACCTCATCACCCCCCTTTCACAGGCAAAGGAAGTGGGCACTGCTCTTCCTGGGACACACGGCCAGTGAGCAAAGCAGGCATGAAACCGGCAGTGCCTGGCTGCCACCCTGGCTGCATGGGCTGTTGACTTTGGAGGCCTCTGTGCTTTGGCTGTTTCGTACAACCTCACTGCCCTTTACATTTCTGATCTCCCTCTATTACCTGCCACACAATCTCTTTTTCTCCTCTTTCCAGCTTCCCTCCCAGTGATGTCTCAGGCCTGGGAATGGGGGTTGGAAAATGACCACATCTCACTCCAGATCACAGGGACCAGGTTGAAGACAAATTGGCAGGACAAGTATCCATGTGCCAATCCAAACACAGCTGATCATAACTATGGTTCTTTAAAAGAGGCAGAGCTTCTTGGCTTGCACCCTGGGGAGCCTCGCCCCACCTCCCTGGCCCAATCCAAGTGTGTGGGTGGTTCCGTCCATCCCTTTCCTGGAATCACATTCTAAATACTTCTGACCAATCACTGAGTGGGAGCACTGTTCTTACATCATTTTTACACATGTGAAACAGGTAAGTAGGGATGTTATAACTGGCCAAGGTCACACAGTCAGTAACTGGCAGGTAAGACTGGCCCCCAGGTCTGAATCCAAAGTCCTTGCCTTAACTGCTATTATACAGTCAGTTTCTTGCTGAAGAGCAGAACAGGAGCGATTTCAGTTAAAAAATTCTCATTAATTATCATCTCCTCCCCTCACAGAAATCACTGCAGAGCCAGTTTTCTCTAAGGTGACATCTCAATCCAGCCTTGACAAGAGAGAAGATTTGCATATGAATGGCAGGTCCAGGTCCTGGTGGCAAGGCTAACGCCTGCCCTTCAGAGGGAAGCGGGAGGAGGGAGGTGAGGGACCGCGACCTAACCTAAGTCACAGGGGCCAGGTGACTGCGACCCAGGTGCTTTGTCCATGGTGAGGGAGGTGGGAACCAGGACGGGAATCCCTGAGGGGAGGACGCCAGATTTCCTCAAACATGTAGTACTCGCTAGCCCCCTGTAGTCATTACCCACTGCTAGCAGTCCCAGCTGGGCTCCTGGTCATGGCTGTCCTGACATTTCTCTTCCTGTAACTGGTTGGGTCATGGCATGATAGCTACCTGGATCATTCTTCTCAAAATAGGCTATAATTCAAAAAGGAACTGTCCAAGCGCAGGGCCCAGAAAGAATAGGATGACGAAGGAGAAGTAAGTGTCATTGGCAGGACTGTGCAGGACCCCATGGGGTGCAATGAGGCAGTTCTAGGCTCTCCCGGAGAGTCAATGCAGGGAGGAAAAGGGCTGCTGAAATCAAATTGTGTTTACTTTCCTTCAATACATATTTCCATGGGGAAAAAAAATCACATCATCTTTTAAATAAACACATGCATTTGACTCCTTTTCCAATTAAACTTGATCCACATGAGCTCCAACTGTATTTTATTTTCCGCCATCTTCTGTATTTCTGAATACTTCTGCAATCAGCCATTGATAACGGTGGCAGAGAGGAAACTAAACTTTCATGTGTTTTTCAGGGACAAGCTGGAAATAAGATGTCTGAGATGGTAATGAATGGTTGGCACAGAGGAAGAAAAGATGTCGGCTCTAGCAGCAGAGCCCCTTCCCGGCTGAAATCTCTGTAGCTGGTGTGTCTAGAAGTCCTGCGAGCAGGTGCTGAGTAGCTAGCTGTCTGCAGCATTAGTAGAATGGGCTGGGGAACTGCACTACGCTCAAGAGATTGCAGGAGAAATATTGGGCTGGTCCTGGGGAGCCGGGAAGAGCAATTCCACTCATCGCAGGCTTCTTAGCGAGGAAAGAATTAACCCACACCGGGAGCCAGCCTACGAACCAGTGAATTGGTCCTTTCCTAGCTCTCAAAGCCTCTCTAAGAAGTTGCTCTTCCTTTCAAGAGGAGTGGTGGATTTCCAGGCATCACAAGGGAATCTTGCTGTATTTAAATAACATATGTGTTCCTGAAAATTTGGTTTTTGTAAATTAAATTTTCATAGAGCAAATCCTACTTTCCCATACCTTCTTTATTATCAAATTAAGGAAACTTCTGGAGAGAATAGTCAATCCACTCCTGGGAAAATGACAAAAGTAAAAGGCAGCATGTTTTTTTTTAACATGCATTTCTTTCAGAGTGATAAGACTCAAGCTACACGTGATAAGTTCCTCCAAATAAGTTACAAAATATGAATATAAGTAACTAGAAATATCTGTCTCCTTGACCCGCAGCTTCATGGTCCAGTGGAAACCCTGTAATGATAGCTGAACTGAAGAAAAGAGATTGAAGGGCCTCTACAATAATAGTCTTCTAAAATCACCCAGTGTGCTTAGATAGTAAGCTATTGTTTCCCAGCTCCAAACTTGGACCCGTCTATTCTGTTTTGTGTTTGGAGGGCTGGAGCTCAGAAAACCGCCTCTTCTGCTTTGCCAGCCGGATTAGACTAGGTGATAGGGGGCGCTAGAGAGAACCTGGGCGGCCGGAGAACGAAGCAGGTCTTGATCCTCCGTGTTTGCTTCCTATTTATTCCTTACCTGTGTCACACCCGACAATGCTTCTGCATTCTGCAAGTGGCCGCTGGTTCCCATTTCTTGTTTTTTAAGCTTGCTCAAGAGAATTTGAGGAATTTTGTGAGATAATCTTAGGCACAATTCCTATTAAAAATTTAATTACATAAACTTACTGTATTACTTTGTGGAACTATAGTAATAAAGCACCCCCAGCTGGGTGACTTGAACAACAGAAATTCACCGTCTCACAATTCTAGGGGCTAGAAATGTAAAATCGAGGTGTCTTCAGGATTCGGTCCTTCTGAGGGCTGTGGGGAAGAATCTGTTCCATCCCTCCCACCTAGATTCTGGTGCTTTGTTGGCAATCTTGGGCATTCCTTGGCTTGTCAAAGAATCCCTCCAATCTTTGCCTTCACGTTCACATGGCCTCCTCTCTGTGGTCACTCTGCTCCACACTTCCCTGTGAAGGACACCAGTCACACTGAGAGGGGCCCAACTTACTGACCTCATTTTAACTTGATTACCTCTATAGAGGACCCTACCTCTGAATAAGGTCACATTCTGAGCTACTGGGGCTGAGAACTCAACATACCTCTTTTGGGGACATAATTCAACCCATAATACAACTAGACAAGTTATTTTTAAAAATTATAGAGGGGGAGAACAATGGTTGCCAGGAGTTACTGAAGGGGAGGGAAGGTGTGACTATATGGGGGAAACACAAGAGGAGTTACTGAAGGGGAGGGAAGGTGTGACTATATGGGGGAAACACAAGACAGTCCCTGTGTGGTTATGGGACAGCTCTGTATGCAGACCATGGTGGTAGGGGTCATACAAATCTGTATGTGTGCTAGAATGTCACAGAAAATACACAAAGACAAAAAAATGAGTAAATGCAAAAACCAGTCCACGTCTGCAATCAAACTCATTGTAGCATGCCGATCTATTTCCTGGTTTTGAACATGTGCAGATGTCACTATTAGGACAAGCTAGGTAATGGGTACAAGGATACTGTTTTTGCAACTCCTTGTAAATCTATAATTATTCCAAAATTTTAAAAGTTAAGAAATAAACAGGAAAGTTAATTGATACCCCAACCTCATTACTCCCTAATTATCTGCCTTTTACTATCATCTGTTCTCCTGGGGTCCCAGCTCTGCAGGTCCCTTCTTCCAGGCCTCCCATCTCTTCCCCTGTTCCCCTAGCCACAGGGAGGGCAGCTGCTTCCTGGAGTTATTATCTCTGTGCTACCTCACAGTTCCCCTCTTGTTTTTCAGTTCTGTAACACCTGTTTAAGTAAATTCTTATATTAAATTCTGTTAATGATGTTTGTGTTCCTGACTGATATAACCAGTCAACACAAATGCTTTCCAAATGATGCAAACAGCTCACATAATGGCAGAAGATAAAGCATTTTCATTTCACAAAACTACAAAAGGCGCAGACCTACATGACTCTTCTGATCATCCCGGAATTTTATTTTGGGAAATGAGCCTTCCCAATGGATGCTGTGAAGCAAAGTTTGTACTGGCCCTGAAGGTAGCACAGGCAATGGCTAACTAAGGAGTTCAGGTGTGGATTATAACACAATCTCAGAGAGTAATACTTCTTAAAAACTAATAATTATTTCCTTTCTGATTATAAAGGTAATCCATGCTTGTTTTATACAGAGTATGAAAGACACATAATCCCAACATCCAGAGAGAAATCACTGTTATTATTTTTAGGTACTTTTTTCCATAGTTCTTGAGGTATATAAAGTAAACAACTTGTATCTATATATGTATGCTTTTAAATATGTAAAATGAAATTGGGTTCATTTATAGATACAGTTACATTTTCTAAGATAATTTTCAATGACTCTTCTTCCCTCGGATGAATAAACATAGGCTTTAGGTAAGGACTCTGGCAGCTCAGAGAACATGGCTGGGGTTTGTGGCCACATACGCTCTCTAATTCTCCACCCATTCCCACCCCAATCTTCAGAACGGCCGACGGCTCCCCAGTCAGCTGCCAGGTAGGCAGACTTACTGCCTCGCACACTCTGATCCCCAGGACGGGGCAGAGCAGACCCAGAAGGCAGGCCTGGCCCCACCCTGTGCACACCTGGAGGCTTGCCTCCGGGGGGCAGACCCCACCCTGGCACCCAGGTCTGTCCAGTGGGGACAGACACTGTATGTTTAAGGCCCCCAAAGGAGGGATGAAGAGGAGCAGAGGGACTCCGAGCCCAGTAAGAAAACCACCAGCTGAGAAAATCATTCTTTTCCTTTTGCAGAGGAGTGAAAAAAACAAAATGGAAAGGAAAGCTGATTGTGTTTTCTTGTCAAAGTTTCCTCTTGGAAGCACAAGGTCAGAGGATTGCAACACCCTCGAAAACAGTGTTTGTATCTCATTTTGTTCAGTTAATGCTATATTGTGTCATCAAAATGTCTTCAAAAACATGACCTCATAGTTTTCGGTTCTTACTATAAAATACTACCTAGTGGTAGAAATGCTCCAAGAAGACAATGAGAAGCACAGCAATTCCACCACTCAGGTAACTGCAGCTAGCATTTTGGCATAAATCCTTCTAATCTTCATCCTGTGCATGTCTATACATGCTTTTTTAAACTGAATTACACAGTATAAATTGTTTTGTTAACATGGTTTTCATTTAATGTACCTAAAACATCTTACACATTTTCCCAGTTGCCTGTTGCCGTGTAACAAACTACATCAGAACTTAGGGATTTAAAACAATAACATCATTTTGCTCATGATTTTGTGGATCAGAGCCCAACCACGTTCCAGGATAAATGGTCTCCACCGCTCCAGAGGCAGATACAACATCACATAGCAGAAGAACATGTAGGAAACATGCAGGATGGGAGACATTTTTACAGCGGTCTTTGAAAGTACAATATGCTACATTATTAAAGATTCTTCTCTGTAACTAAAATGGTTGAATAGTATGTATTTAAAAATGCATCATCACTGCTTTAATGGATGTCAGTTTTTGCAAATTTTAGAAACAATATGATAAATACCTCCATGATGAACATTCCTATTCCATAAAACTTCATCTGTATCTCAGAAAATTTTATTAGGAGAAATTACTGAAGGTGTAATTACTGGGTGGTAAGAGTTAAGGCTGCTTGGTATAAATGGCCAAATTAATTTCCTGATAAACCCTAATTCAGGTCTACTTCATTTAAAATATTTTACTCACTAAAAGACAGAGTCCCATCAATATTCTTTGAAAATACAGTTGACTATTTTCATTTATTATTTTTCCAGATCTTTTTCAGATGTGAAAGCAATTCCCACTGAAGTTTTTAATGGAACTTAACTAAACCTATAAATGAACCTGGGATCAACTGGTCTCGCCAATATTCAGTTGTCTGGTCTGGAAGTCTTTTACTCTAGTCTGCTCATTGTAACATTCATCATTGAATTATTCCTACCACATTACACTTACATAATTGTTTTAGGCAGGACTGCTTTCTCCATCATATATTTAAACTGATTATTGATGCTAAATTGGAAAAGTGCTTACTTGGTGTATTTATTCATATTCAGTCATTTTTCTAATTTTTTTATTAATTCTAACAGTTTGTCCATTGATTCTCTTAGGTTTTCTGGGTAGACAATTGCAGTACCTGCCAGCATCGGTACTTTAAATTTTCATTCCAGTAACCTGTCTTATTTCTGTTTCCTACCTTTTGCATTATCTAGGACACCCAGGACAGGATTATTTAATATTGTGAGACCAGGTCTTTTTATCTTATTTCTGATTTTAAGTAGAATATATCTGGCATTTTCCCATTAAATATGATGTATGCTGTTGTTTAATATAAATATTCTGTACCATTTTAAAAATTCTCTATTTCTAATTTACTAAATTTTGCTTATTCAGAATTGGTACAGATTTTTTCTAAAATGCTTTCCAGACTTCTAATGAGATCATGCATATTTTCTCCTTAGATTTACTGATACAATCTTATATTTCATAATATTAAATGATTCTTGTA